AATCAGCTCTGACAAGTTTTAGGCATACAGAGAAAGAATGACTGGTAAAAGGTCAAGTCACGATGCAAACTAGGAACAGAAAGCAGAAGTATTGACTCCCGGTCCCATTAGGCTGTTTTTCTCCTTATGGAGCATGACAACTGTACATTTTGAAAGTCATTCACTTTTGTCATTTATGCAATGACATTTGACAAACATTTGGACTTGAATGGCTGACTTCCACTGGCACTGAAGGTCTCCAGTAAGCCTGCTCCATTGTCTAGTCATTTCTCTCCAACAATGGTCAGTGGGAGCCTTGCCTTTCTGAAGGGAGAGCAGTATAGCATACAGATATTTTCCTCTTTTCTCCAATAGGGGTTCTATCTACTTTAGAAGGATAAGAAAAATAATAAGGATCAACTAGAACTTAACTAAAACCCGTCTATTTTCTTTGGTCAACAGATTCATGCATATTTATTCATCCTCTTAAATATACTAAAGAGTTAGCCATAATAGTTTGAAATCAGACAGAATGCAGGGCGGGGTGGCACCTTAGAGACTAACAAGCTTATGCCTTGGTTCAGAGAGGCACATGCTTCCACGGGCAATGAAGTTAAAAGCTATTGCATCTGACAAAATAGGCTGTTGCTTGCAAAAGTTTATACCTCTCTGAACCAGTTACTATCTGAGGTAACACCCTGCACAAAGGTGGGATATGAGAAAAGAAAAGCAGTAAATACCTCCGCAACTAATTTAGACCACTCTGAAGTGCTGGTGATAAAGTTTAGGACCTAGATCATGTTTGTTGCCCAAAAAGAACACCTGACTCCTATCATTCAGATCAGTTAGAAACATTTTCCCTTTTATTATTAGATCCCACAAAAGACAAGGCCTTGGTAGATATATAATTAGATCCACAAAGAGACGTAAGCATCTAAACACTATTTTAGGCATCCAGATGCAATAACCATGTGCCAGCAAACCCCTGCTAAGCTGCTTACATTTCTGCTCATCCACATGAGTAGAGCACAAAACAGCACTGAAAACCAAGTGTGATTTGCAAATGAGACATTACTTCATATATCACTCTTGCAAGACCAGGTCCAGTGGGCATTCCCAGAGCATACCTAATTTTCACAAGGACAGCCAGAAACTAATAATCTGTCTGCGAGAGCTCCAGGCTTAAATCTGTTACCTGCCTAAACTGGAGTAGGGATCCTGGTCATTGCTTTCCCAAGTAAGGATTTCTTGTGAGACAGAGCTGACTTCAGCTAGGTCTAACTCCAAGAGAGACTTCACTGTTGTAATCCCAAGTGGAAGGAGACACCTTCCATGAGCAGAGTTAGGTGTCCAGCTCCTTAAATGTAGGCACCTAACACTCCTAGGTGCCTAAAAGGTAGACATTTTGATACTTAGATCCAATTACAGTGTGAGCCCACGAGTCTTGCTCTGCAGAATTGTTTCAGACATACAGAAAACAATTGTGGGTAACAGAAGGATGAGACAGCAAGCATGAGGGTCATAACAATATAGCTCCATATTTTCTGTCTGGACATGCCAAAATCAGGTTTCCATAGATTTTAAGCCAGAATGGACTATCTGAGCTCCTGGGGAAAAAAGCCAAAGAATACCACCCACTTAGCCCTGATAACTGTATTTAATTGAAGCATATTTTCCTGCCTTGATTTGAAGTCAACTGAAGTCCACATCCTGTGGTAGTTTGTTCCAGACATTTATCACCCTCACTATAAGAATGTATTTTTTTCCCTATTTGAATGAGTCTGGTTTTAATTGCATATACCTTTCACTGCTAAGGTAAATAGCCCTTTACTATGTAGTGTTATCTCATCATGAAGGTATGCTGATATCATAGATCAAGTCACCTCTTGATCTTTTTAAGAAGGTGAACAGGCTGAAATGTTTAATAAATTACTGTACCAACTGTTAGTGGATATCCTTCTTTTACAGTGGATGGCCAATAGCCATGACTAAATAAAAGTTCTGACCAATAATAGACCGTAAAAAATAGGTAATAATATAAATGACTTCATACTACACTGCTAGTAGAGACAGAAACTGCACTACATTCTAAATGGTTATAGCTGCTAAGTCCTATGGTGAATATACTGAACCTCAGAATTTCATAAATTAAGTATAGATTAATATATTAATACTTTACAAACAGATCAATTATGAGGAACCTGTGCTCATGTCATACTAGTTATGCAGCAAGTAGCATTACTAATGAACATGAGTCATGTTCATGAGTCAGTTAGCAAAGCTAACTGCACTTTATCATGCATCAGCAGATGCATGACAAACAGAACAAAGGAGGTGATGCTGCCCCTCTATCAGGCACTGGTCAGACTGCAGTTGGAATACTGCATCCAGTTTTGGGCGCCGCACTTTAAGAGGGATGTGGATAACCTGGAGAGGGTCCAGAGAAGGGCCACTCATATGGTTAAGGGCTTGCAGGCCAAGCCATATGAGGAGAGATTAGGGTACCTGGACCTCTTCAGCCTCCACAAGAGAAGGTTGAGAGGCGACCTTGTGGCTGCCTATAAATTCATCATGGGGGCGCAGAAGGGAATTGGTGAGGCTCTACTCACCAAGGCGCCCTTGAGGGTTAGAAGAAATAATGGCCATAAGCTAGCAGAGAGCAGAGTTAGACTGGACATTAGGAAGAACTTCTTCACAGTTGGAGAGGCCAAAATCTAGAATGGGCTCCCAAGGGAAATGGTGCTCTCCCCTACCCCGGGGGTCTTCAAGAGGAGGTTAGATAGGCATCTGGCTGGGGTCATCTGAACCCAGCAATCTTTCCTGCCTATGCAGGGGGTCGGACTCGATGATCTATTGAGATCCCTTCCGACCCTAACATCTATGAATCTATAATGAAGGTGATGATTAAAATAAATCAGTTCTTTGGCAATGGTCCTTCACAGCTTATTAGCTGTATAGCTCCCAAAAGTGTGTAGGTGTTTAACACACACCACAAATACAGATCCCTTTCACAAAGTACTTGTCCTCTAAATGGATAATATGCAGATGCAGGAGGTACAAATTCCAGAATGAGATGGAATATGGTATATTTTGCTTTTTTTCTATTAAGTGTAGTAATTTCTGCTTGTTGGCATATTGAATTGAACAGAATTTTGCATCCACATTGAATGTGCTTGACCCAGGAAGAGTATTCGCTTATTGTACTTTGTAGCATGTTATTTACTGATACACACACACACCACCAACTGTCTTCTATAATATTTAAAAATATATTTCTACCCTTGGGAGAATTTTCTGTAACTTTTCAAATGTGTATTTGTAGAACTGCTTAGACTTGAGGAAAGGTATTTGATTGCCTGAAACTTGTCCAAAAGCTTTCCCAACTAGATAGTACGTCCAATAGACAAATATTTTTTTCTCAGATTTTTATCTGTAGAACTCCTGTTTCTTTAAATATTAATTATAAATGCAGGAATATGCTCTATTCTTTAATGGCTCTGCAAACTCATCTAAGCATGCAATGTCTCTCTCCCATAAATCCCTTTATTAACCATACGAGAAAGTGATGGTGGTCTCTGCTGAAAAATAATTTGTCATATGTTTATAATTTGCACAAGAAGTCAAAAGCTAATTTTGAGTGTGTCAGGGCACTGTTGGTGCCTGCCACTTTAAGGGCAGAGCCAAACAGCCAGCAGGTGTTTGATTACGGCAGCCATCTTAGAATTCTGGCTGCCTGTATACACAGAGCAGTTCACTGCTGGCAGGCCAGGCAGAAACATTGCCTGGCTGAAAGGCTGTATGAAACATCTTGGAGGTAAAGGCAGGAGCTTAAGGGGATGGTCAGGAGGCTCCTGGTCCTGGGCATGACCTAAAACTGCACCCTGCATGGAGTGGGTGGCCTGGTGGGGCTCCCAGAAAATACCAGGCCAGTTACCACCCCGGTGAAAGGCGAGTCAGGGTGCTTTAACCCCTAGCCCCCACAATACTGTGGGTACAAGGGGGCCAGGCACAGCTGTGAACATCTGAGCCCCCACTGGCGAGGGAAGCCTGCAGCCCCATTGGGAAGGGGTGGAGATGAGGGGCCCCGGTGGGAGGGGAAACCAAAGGTCTCAGAGCCCAATGTATATGTGTGTGAGTTTGTATAGAATTGCCCTGGGAGGGGCCAAGGCAAGCTTGGCTCTGGTCAGGTAATTGACTGACCACTACCCCAGTGAGCGTCGTGGAAGTGACCCAAAAAACAGTACGTCTGCCACCTAAGGTGTGCTCTAGATAAAGCCTATGGCCGAAGGGGCCCACTCTGAGAGGGAGCAAGGCAGTACAAGTTGTCAATGCGTGAAAGAGACCCTGTGAGAGGGGGTGGAGTGTGAGAGGCCCTAGCGAGAGGAGGGTGGTATGAATGAGAGTGTGTCTGAGGCCTGACATTGAGGGCTAAGCTTGGTCCGACTGTAGGTCGGGAGCATTATGTCACCTGGATGCCATCTGCAAAGCTTGGGCTGCAGTGTAGGGGAGGAGCGGAGTCACAAATAGCGTATCCCCCCCCCACCCCGACATCAGGGCAAGAATGGGCAGCCTCCCGCCTAATTAACAACATAATTATGTATCATCAAGGTGTGGCAGGAGAGGAGGCGGGTGATTGGCCCAGAAACAGGTGGGTAGGCCAATGGCAGACCGGCCCCAGGAAAGCCCCCTGTTGCATTGAGTTTCACATGATGGGAAGGAAAGGAAAGGAAACTTATAGAATTCCCACGTAGTAAAACTGTGGTATATGTGACCAAATGTTTCTATTCTGTTGTTTAAAATATGAGCATGCTTCACTAAAATCTTTTGCTGTGAATCTCTTGGTTTAGCTCTTTCTTGATATGTTAACATAACTAAAGCAGCATGATACTATAAACAAACTCTAGACACCCAACTATTTACTCAGCAGCACAGTAGGGTTATGTAGCCCACTCTGAGCTTTGTGCAGCCATGGCTACCTTGCCAATTACAGCTAAGCTATCTTGTTTAAAGCTGCAGTCACTTCAGGGTGTGTCGACTGATGGATCTTTTGAAGAGTCTGGTTGATGAGATTCAAATATAACAGGCTTTTTGAGGCAAAATATTTTCCTAAATGCTCTTCGGAACTTAACATGGCAGAGAGGGTAGAGAAAAGGGTTCACAGAGGAATTGAACCACAAAAGCCAAGATGTAAACTCAAACAGAGGTTCACTGATACATTGTTTTCTGCAGGCTGCAGAAATAATCGTAAGTAATGAATATGGTGCCCAGCATATAGCAAAGATATAAACAATTATAGCAAGTGACTTTGCAGCTTTTTTGTCCCTTTGCATTTTTGACCATGTCCTTTTTCTGAAACCTCTGAAATGAGCTTCCTTAGCTGTTTTGGAATGGACTTGAGATGCAACTGAACTGTCAAGTGTCACTGAATACATATATCCTACTGAAGTAGAAAAATTGTTTCCTGAAGATGAAGATCCCCATGACTGACTCTTGCTCTTTGAATTTTCAGAAAGCTGATGGGTGGGGCTTCGTAGACGCTTTCGTATACTCTGGAAGATATGGAAGTTGAAATAGGCAATGGAGATCAAAGGTGTGAAGAACTCAAAGACTGAAGCACACAGAGAAAAATACCAGTTGTAGCTGAATTCAGGATAACATTCGTCATCAGGTACAATGCTGCAGCCAGCCACATATTCCCAAATGATAATTGCTGGGCCATAGAGTAAGAATGCAAACACCCAAATTGCCCCCATCATAATAACAGTCTTGGAAGTCATTCTCTGTAGAATCCTGTAAAACACCTGTAAGCAAATGGAATTGACCACGTCATGCATTGAGAGAGATTTTTAGAACCAGTGTAAACAACCTGGTTTCATGGCCCAATCCCAACTTCTCTTCCCCCAGCTCCTTGTCCCATGCGGGTGAAGTTACATTACACTTATACCATAATAAGTTAAGCTGTGTTCAAGTTAGATTGTGCTGTGAGCAGTCACATGTTAAGTGTTAATACCATTTTTTGCCTGTACTTGCCACTAGAGGGCTAGTGACTAGGGGCATGACTAGGAGCCAGGTCATCTGCGTTCTAGCCCTGCGTGGGGCAGGGGGCTAGGAGTGCTGCATCCTGAGGTTTTGGAGGACTGCAAATTGCTCATTTCATCTCCATGGAGCAGGCTGAAGTTCCCATAATACAAGGTAAGTAGTGCAGCCCAGAATTAACCCTCACCTGAGGTGGTGTAACTTTGAGATTGTCAGAGGGCACACAGCATGAGTTTAATGAGCTTTAATGTGTGGATGCTAGTGTTTTAAGTGCCCTTAGTATGGTCTAAGTGTAGTAAGTAACTTCACCCTTAGTTTACATTGGCAGCACTAAGTTCAGCCCAAAAAACAATGGTGGTGCCATTTCGTAGGTGGAGGGAGAAAAAAATTGGAGAGGGCTGAGCATGTATGTGCATGCACACATGCACCCCCTCTGCAGGAAAGTCTGTGTGGGGAGGGGTAGGGAATGGGGCTGGGACCAGGCAAGGATTGGGATGGAACAGAGTGGAGCTGGGCCTGCTGTGCCCATGTGGGCATTCCTTCCCCCATGCCCAGGGTCAATGCTCGGTGCTAGTGCCAATGAACCTGCTGCCCCCAGCCCGACACTTCCTCCAGCGGGACCTAGAGCAGAGGGCTAGAGAAGTGACAGCCTTGGCTGCACTGCCAGGCCACAGGGGATGGAGTTCCTGTGACCCCTCTAGCCGCCCTAGCAGTCCCTGCACAGCTGGGGCAGGGCGGAGCATGATATGGATCCACAGCTCATCCAGGGGGTGCAGGAAGCGGGTGGTGGCTCCCGCTGCTGCACATGTCCCGGGAGGCAAGAGGGGGGGGGTGCCCCCAGTCTGCACAAGACAGGGCAGGCTGCCACTGTGGGCTGGGGCCGAGGCAGCGCCGGACTTTTCCCGGTGGAGGGGAGGGGGCTGTGCTACGCTGAGGGCAGGCAGCGGTGGGACTGGGAGGGGGGGTCAGGTGGGCTGCAGTGAATCTTGGGGTGGCTGCAGCTGCCCGTCCCCTGCACCTGTAGCCTCTCTTCCAGTGCTGCCACCACCTGCCCCCAAAGTAGCACAGTCCCCCTCTGCCGGGAAGAGCCCGGCACAGCCCAGGCCCCATCCCACAGTGGCAGACCATCCTGCCCCATGTAGATGGGGACATGCACCCCCCCATGCCTCCCAGGGTGTGCATAGCAGCAGGAGCCATGCCCCCTAGATGAGCCACTCACAGCTCAGTCCCGTGCCATCAGCTGGGCAGCGCCTGCCCCTCCTCCAGCCTCACCCCTGCTGTAGCTGCTGGAAGCCCTTGGCCAGGCTTCCTTGCACCCCTACTGCTGTCCTGTGTTTGGGGAGGCCAAGCCCTGTTAACCCCCATCCTTCTGCCGCCTATGTGCCATTTTCACAATTACCTGGTGGTTAGGGTACCTAGCTAAGGCATGGACTATAGGCTGTCCTCAGTCTAAGAAAATTCCAACCCACATGTTCTGCCACCTAAGAAAGTACTCTGAGTGCCATCCTATATGAAGCAGGGCCATTGGGCAGACAAGAATGCAAGAATCTTGGAAAAAGGAAGGGCAGAGAGCAGAAAAGCCTTAGTCTTGTGGGCCTGAGAACTATAGTGAGCCTGAGACATGCACCATATAATACTGCCATCACAGAACGGAACTGGTACATATACTGGTTTCTTGCCTGCACAGTTCCGATTTGCCACCAAAGGGCTAGCAATCAGGGGCATGGCTAGGAACCAGGACACCTTGGCTCTATCCCTACTCTGGGTGGTCGGGGTGTGGTTTGGAGCAGTGTGCCCTGGAATGCTGGAGGACTGCAAATTGCTCATTTTTATCTCCATGGAACAGACTGAAGTTACCCTAACATGAGCTAGCTAGCATGGTCCAGAGTTAATCCTCACCTTAAGTGACATAACTTTAAAGTACTCAGAGGGCACTTAGCAGAAGTTAACAAGCTTTAACATGCAGATACTTGCATTTTCAGTGCCCTTAATATGGCCTAAATGTAACATGTAACTTCACCCCCAATCTCCCCATTAACCCATTTTCACCCCTCCCTGTATTCTATGCCGGCTTCATTTTTCCACCTTTTTGGCACTAGCAGGGGGGATCGACAACATAGGTGACGCTTCTCAATGCTCTCAATTGTGCTGCCTCAGTGGCTTGCAGCAGACAAGAACAGCAATTGTAAGGAAAGATATTTTTTCAACCCATGCATACTTGGAGTGGAATATGATGAGCAATTGATGGAACCTCTGGACAACTTAGCTGACAAATTCTACTTGAACATGTGCAGAGAGATTTGCAGATGCTTGTGTCTTGGCTAAATGCAAGCTAATTATCACTTATTTGGGTGAAATACAGATCCCTGGTACCAGAACAATCACCAGCCAAAACTAAACTCCCTGTTCAAAACAAGATTTGCTTCAAGAAACGGTCCTATTAATTCTCTAATATTGAAAAAACAAAGTGCTTTCAGAACTATAGGTGACAGCATCTATATAATTGTTAATTACAATTATTACATGCAATGTTGTATTTTTCTAGAACACTAAGTGGACATGAAGGGTTAACTATGAATGTGCTACTCACAGCTTTAGTAACTGACAAGTACCGATCATAGCTGATAAGAGCAATATTAAATGATGATGCTGTGCACATGAGATGGTCCAGGAGAAGCCAAAGCTTGCAGGGACCTTTTCCAAATTCCCACTTTCCTGTCAGTGCATAAGGGATATACATAGGGATACAGAATGCACCTATAGAAAGAAATCATAAATATACAATCCAGTCATAATTAAGACTGCAAAAGAAGCAAATGTAAGTGCAGAGCCGTTTTTGTGGTAAAAATATAAATAAAGATATTAGCACCAGATAGCAGTTCATAGCATGATGTTCTTGTGTTCTTATGAAATCAGTGAGTAGTTTTTTATGAACTAGATATTAGCAAGGTTTTTATAGACTGCTCATTATAAGGCTTGTTATTACTAATGTCCAGAGATGTATCACAATTTAAAGGGGGAGAGCTGACTCTAGTCCTTGGCCATCGTATGATAATGTCAACCTGTACTAAGCTAATGGAGTGAGGCAGCCACTGTTGTTTGGTTTAAATGAGTGTAATTTACCAAATGATTTCTAGCAGTGTACAGTAATTTGTACATTTGCACATTCCAAATATTTTAATGAATCTGCCATGTAATTTACAAGATTAGCATCAAGCTCTATCTAGATTGTAGATAATGTTAGCAACACACTATGACACTATCTGTAGAGTATATCATGTGTTTCCTGTTTGTAATACTTAATTCATACATCAGTATTACCAGAGTGACCACAAACTGTTCTGCCAGGTGAAATCCTTCCCTGGCACAGTACAAAAAGAGAGTCTATTTGTTCATCACATCTCAATGTAACATTAAAGAAAAATGTATTCCTGTTGGAGCATACAGCATACTCCCATTCTTGCCTTTGAACCCACCCACTGCGACCTCAGTTGTTGTAAATCCATCAACACCATTTTGGCCTGCAAGTGTGTTCTTCAACATTTGGAAGCTTGCCCTCTCCCAGCAGATTAAGTGCATGTTTCCCAACATCATTCCCAGCCCGAAAGCTCCATCAGTAGAAATCTGGGACCAGAAAGAGAACATTATAGCTGTTCAGCCACACCCCTGAAAATGTCCCTCTTTCCAGTGCTAAGTTTGTATAGGATATCTCTTTCATCTTAGAGTAACCACTGGTTTTATATCGTGCATATTTTTCAAATTTGTTCGCTGAGAGAAGTGAAGACTGTTTTGTTCTTTCACTCCTTAGTTCTACAATAGCAGTATGCAGACAAGGTTCTTTTGGTAAATGTGATATCTGTTTTTAGACCAACTAAATAGTTAGAAAAATTGTTCTTTGCTAGCTTTCAGGCACAAACACCCATCTTCAGGCATAGGGAAAGTCTGTTGGTGTTTGTGTGCTTTCCTGGGTAGGATAGAAGCCAAAATGCAGGTCTGTCAAAATGCAAATACCTGGTAGTAAGGTGTGAAAAGGTAGTTGGTGATGGTCTGTTGGTGTTTGTGTGCTTTCCTGGGTAGGATAGAAGCCAAAATGCAGGTCTGTCAAAATGCAAATACCTGGTAGTAAGGTGTGAAAAGGTAGTTGGTGATGGGGAAAAGGGGAGAAGGTGATAAAATGTAGCTGGTAAAATGCAGACAGATTACCTGGGGTTATCAGATGGCAGGCAGGTATAATGTGCCATAAATCAAATGTCTATATTTAGTCCTTGATTTTTTGTATTCAGTAGATTTATGAAGTGAAATTCATAAGCTCATCTATGAAAGGTGTTTTGTAAATTCCATTTGAGGATTAGAACTAATGGTGTATGATTCATGGGGATTTTCTTTTTGTACTGCAATACGAATTGCACAACATTAGTTAGGACATACCATCCTTCCCTGGAACCTATACAGAAAATCCTCAAACAATTACAACCCATACTAGAAGAAAACCCCACTCTTAAAGAGATCTTCACAGAACCACCCATCCTAGCCTTCAAACAAGCATCAAACCTCTCCAACCTCATCATCAGAAGCAAGCTTCCTATGGCCGAAAGCATGCCAAATGGATCCAAACCATGACGGGACAAAAAATGTCAAACCTGCCAACACTTCTCCACCACTTCCACAATAGCAACACCCCACAACAGAACCATATCATTTCTGGATCTTACACCTGCACCTCCAGAAATGTAATATATCTCACCCAGTGCACTAAATGCCCTAATGGAAAATATGTAGGAAAAATCAAGCAACAACTGCGTGCCAAAATGAACACACACCAAAAATCTATCAAAAACAAAAATATCCAATTATCTGCAGATGCACACTTCTCACAAGATAACCACTCTCTGTCCAGTCTCTCAGTTCTAATCCTCAAAGGGAATTTACAAAACACTTTCGTAGATGAGCCTACGAACTTCACTTCATAAATCTATGAATACACAAGATCATGGACTAAATATAGACATTAGATTTATGGTGTCTTATAACCTGCCTGCCATCTGATAACCCCAGGTAACCTGTCTGCATTTTACCTACTAGATTTATCATCTTCTCCCCCTTTCCCTATCCCCAACTACCTTTTCACACCTATTGTTTCCCATTTCATTTGAACCTTACTGCCAGGCATTTGCATTTTCACAGACCTGCATTTTGCATTTTGGCTACTATTCTACCGAAGAGAGCACACAAACACCAACAGACTCCCCCTATGCCTGAAGAATGGTGTTTGTTCCTGAAAGCTTGCAAAGAACAATTTTTCCAACTATTTTCCAACTATAAAATGTATCAACAATATACAGTAAAAGTTCTGTTATCTGGCATCTTACAAACCGGCATGCTCCACTAACCAGCATGCCAGCTTGTAAGATAAAGCGAAACCAAAAGTGCCCACCGTGGCATTTCCGGTTTCTCCAAGCCCCCATTGCTCGGGGCAAAGCAGCCTGTGCTGCTGAGCCCCCACAGCCCGGGGGCATAACAGGCTGTATGGGGCTGTGCGGGACCTGGCTCCCTGTCTCGCAGGGCCCCACGGGAATGGCAGTGATGCCACGGAAGTGACACGGCGTGAGAAGCAGCAGCCAAGGCCGCTCAATTAACCAGCATATTTTGTTATCCGGCATCCCCAGTTCCCGGGGGATGCCGGATATCAGAGATTTTACTGTATACAAGGTCCACTAGTTTGTGTACACTGTACTTAATCTGAGAAACTATGGTGAAAAGTTTTAAAGATAGGTTGAGGTTAATGAGAGCCAGTTATATAGCGGATTCTCCACCATAGCAGCATATCCATTCATATACAGAAATCACCCTTTCATTCCAACAAATATCTCCTATTTTGATAGCTCACAAAAATAACTATTTATAAACCTTTCTGAGAACAAATAAGCTTCTAAACTAAAGAACTTAATACTCCTTGCTCTACTCTTAGCCAATGTGTAGGAAACTCTTAGAAAAAGTATTAGTGAAAATATTTTTCAGTTATACATGCTGATAAAAGGCATATTACATTCCTTCATTTAAAAAAACAAACAAACTTACCCACTGCAAAGTCAGAAACAGCAAGATTTAGAAAGAAATAATTACTCCGATGTCTCAGATTTTTGTCCACAACAAAAGCCAGGATGACCAAGGCATTTCCAAGAACTGTAATAAAGACTAACAAAACCATGAGAACAGCCAACAATATGAAAATAGGCAATGGGAAGCAGGGTCCCCCGTTTCTGGGGACTAGAACTAGGCTTTTGTTACATGTTGAAGGCATATGTAGCTCCTCAGTACTGGTGTTATACATATTGTACATCCTGTTCAGTTCACTTCATGAAGAAACAAATCCAGTAAGTGTATCCTATCAGATAATGTAAATAAAATATATTGAAAAAGAAAAATTGATAAATCCAAAATGATGTCATTTACAACCACACAACTCACTGAGACACTTACAAGCAGCATATTCCTGTTTGAGCACTTAGCTTACACCTAAAATACTTCTCTTTGAAACCTCCCATTTTGGCCACTGGTCCTTAAAGTCCATCAACACCATTTCTTTTTCTGGTCAGTGGGTTCAAACTTGAACTCTAAGAAGCTTTTCCTTCTTCCCAGGGGACTGTACATATTTCTCAACACCATTTCCAGGCCACATCTGATGACTGTGAAACTCAAGCTGAGCTTGGCCTATTCACAAAAGTTAAAATAAAAAATATTGCATACATAGTGCAAGAAAATGTACGTTTGTGGCTGGACCTTCTGAAAAGAAGTAATGAGGCAGTACTTCCAGCTTATCTTACTATATTTATGATGGTTTTAAGCAGGCTCCTGTTTATCTGGTATGTAACTGTGTGAAATGTCTATCCATGATTATTTAGTATAGTACAGTAAAAGCTCCGTTATCCAGCATCCCCCAGGAATGGGGGATGCCGGATAACAAAATATGCCAGTTAATTGAGTGGCCCTAGCTGCCGCTTCTCCTGCTACATCTGGGGCCTCCCTCCGCCCCTCCCGCAACATCGCTGCCCCTCCCATGGCATTGCCACCCCTCCCGCAGGCCCTGCAGGCCCCACGGGACAGGGAGGTGGGCCGCGCACAGTCCCATGCAACCTGTTATGCTCCCGGGCCATGGGGGCTCATCAGCGCAGGCTGCCATGGTGGGCACTTCTGGTTTCACTTTTCCTTACAAACCAGCATGCCAGTTAGTGGAGCGTGCCGGCTTGTAAGGTGCCAGTTACCAGAGAGTTTACTGTAAATGTTTCTTTGCAATTAACACATGTTTATGTGTAGGAAGAGATATTCTCCATATGGGCTTTGATAGGTGTTTCCTCCTGATTTATTCTTGTTATGCCTCAGTGATTCCCTTTATCTTCCAAGGATGATTCCACAAAAACCTTGTGTTTTTCCTGGTTGTTAATCAATTTCTCGATATGTTCCAACTTAGTATAATTTGATAACCTCTTGTTACTGAGGAAGGTAATTTAATCAACTTTGGAACTTTCTGATAACCAACAATGAACAGTTTGATTAACAGGATTTTCCTATTAATTACTGCTTGGGATTCTCTCTTGTTTTACACAACTACAAAAATGCTTTGAAGATGCTGACTTAAGGGTATAAAAGAGGAATGAAACAGCTAACAGGGCACACTTCAAGAATGAGAAATTATTCTGACAAGACAAGCTGCTGTGCCCAGCTGATGTTCTAGTGAACAGATCCACACCTGGAGAAGCTGACAAGACTGAGACCACCTCTTTTGCCTGTTTTGGTGAGATACGATCACTTTTACAGCTAAATATGAGGGCTGTGCAAAATTTCGATGGCTGTTTCATTTTGAAGCTGTTTCGAGCACAAAACAGCACAATCAAAATGAAACAAAAGACTTTAATATAACTTCAAAACAAAACGAGGGCACTTGAAACATTTTGATAAATTCAAAATGTTCCGAGTTTCGAAGCCAGGCTTGATTACAGCTAAACAGAAAGTAAGGAGAGGAAGGAAGGACTGCTCTGATATTGATATCTACCTCCCGGTTTAATTCGCCAGCTCTCTGATCATTTCCCCAGCTCTTCCTGGGGGGCGTGGGCCCCTGTTCTACGTGCAGGGCTTCAGCAGGCTGCCACTGCAGGCTGGGGCC